AAAAGATCAAGGGATTATGGCAGAGTTTAGCCGCCGCGTCCACACGTTGGGCGCGCGTTTAGTTTGCTAGTTGCTACGAGCTCCTAGAGTGATTACACGCACCTGATTTAAATTTTATATTCACGCTTCGCAGGGTGGATTTTCTTATTACCAGCCTTTTAGTGCCAATATTAACTTTAAAAATTCCTGCTCCTTTAATTAGCGCACAATATTTTTAAACATTTGTTTTAATCGATAAGCTATTTATCAAAAAATTAAATGAACATTTTAAACTAAGCAATAAAAGGCGTTATGGCTCAAATTCCAGCCACCCTGCACAGAATTTCGCCCTCTGTGTACCTAATGCCAGCATAACATAGAGTTGTGCCTTATGAGTTTTTGGTAGATGTATCTATTGTTGAAAAGTTTTAGAGGCACAGTAATAAATTCGTTACTTTTAGTTTTGAATCAAGCGTGTCGCAAGCATGAAATACGTAAGTGTCAATCCAGACGACAACAATTATTTTATTTTAACGTTTCACAACTTACCTGTGTTTTAGTTTTAAGCAGTTCGATCTTTCTTTTAAAACTAATAATGAATTAAAACCAATTATGAAAAAATTAAGCACATCAATTTCTCTACAAGTTCCCTTCACAAATCCACTACTGAACATCCTCCTCCACAGACAGCGACAAAGCATGGTCCTGAGCCACTTTCCTTGTCATGAGTTTTTCATTTATGTTCTAAGTTATAATTAGTATTGCTAAGTCAGAGTTAATTATATTTATTGCTTGTTTATGTCTTTCTCAAAAAATAATTAAATTACCACATAAATTATACGGTGTTCCTTATATACATGGAATGTCTGATAGAAAAGCAATTACATCTTTTACTAAACTTTAAAATCAAAAACCATATTAAAAACATAGACGAATCGATTATAACTCCTTTAACTTTAAAGTAAGTTCTAATTAATAGTATTTATTTCAGTTTATGATTCATGCAAGGGATAAATAAAGCTAAATAAATAAATTAAATTCCAGTTTATGACAATACTGATTTATATTACATGGCTGAAATAAAGTACTTCTTATTAGGTACGCAAAACCAATATCAGCCTGACGGCTGACATTATGCACTTCATAAATTTCGTATATCTATTTACAGCCCCATTAATTTCCACCAAAAGAGAATTAAAAAAAAAACTTGTAAATTTAAAGAAAAATGACTGCATTACTATGTCTACAGTCTACACTCATGCCAATACTATTCATGCGAATCAAAAAGACAGGAGAACATCCTAGTGAGAACATAACATTTTTTAAAAAGCCTACAGATGAGCTAATGCAAAATAAGCTTAATTTTATAAAGACCAAAACTTGTTAAAAAAATAAGTAAATGAGCATTTTCGTACGCGTTTTGATTTTTAATTTAAAACTGTTAGCAACATCAGCGTCGTCAACATCTTCCCCGCAGGTGTCGGTTCGCCGACACTCATTACCAAGCTGGAGAAAGGCCACGCGAGCAGCTGATCGCTTCAACACTCCTGACTTAGTCCTAACGTCAACTACTCTAACTCTGCCGTCTGAACCTGGGTACACCTTTACAATAACACCCATTGGCCAACAGTTACGAAATAAAGATGGGTCGACTATTACAACAAGATCCCCTACTTTTAATTGCGGACCTTCCCTATCCCATTTACGACAAAGATTAGCTCTGGCAAAAACTCTTTTACTCATCTGCTCCAAAATAAGTCTGTCAACCGTTGGGCAATGCGCCACTGTCGTCTAAGATACATGCCTTCATCATCGAAGAACCCCAGTTGCAGGTAAGTTCAAAGAAGATCCTAGTAAAAAACGATTTGGAGGTTTATAACTGTGTGATATTTGAAATATGCTTTCCTCCAGTTACGATTTTTTCAGCTGATAATATTTGTAGTGAAGACTACTAGAAACCTTATTTACGAAGTAAAAAGACGAAAAGGCTGGAATTAGAAGCGTGGCTGGTAATAGGTCCTTACATATGAAATTAGCGTTTTGTACGGGAGGAATATATAAAGTAATCTTTTTTTTCTAAAATATATTTAATTAATCAAAGTATGCACCGTTGTTATCTATGCAATTTCGCCATCTCATAGGTAGTTCATTGATCCCTTTACTATAAAAAACATAGGGTCGAGAATCAATAAACTCTTTGAAGGCGGTTTGGACTGCCGCATCGGAGTTTAATTTTTTTCCTTGTAAGAAGTCCAAACTCCGATAAAAAAATGGTAATCTGTTGGAGCAAGGTCCGGGGAGTACGGTGGATGTCGCAGATTCCAATTGTAGCTCATCTAACTTAGTGATTGTTTGCTGTGCAGCGTGTGGTCTTGCGTTGTCGTGAAGCAGCTGCGGCCTAGAGCGATTGATCAATCTCGGTTATTTAGCAGCTAGTTATTCATTCATGGTTTGCAGTTACTGACAATAGATATCTGCCGTAATCGTTTGGCCAGATTTTAGAAAGCCGTAGCGAACGACACCGGCGCTAGTCCACCAAACACTCACAAGTAACTTTTTCTGAGTCAGTTTTCATTTAGCGCAGGATTTGGCTGGTTCTTCAGGGTTCAGCCATTGCGACGAGCGCTTCCGATTATCGTACAGTACCCATATCCACTTTTCATCACAAGTAATAATTCGATTTAAAATTCCTTCGTGTCTGTGTCGGTTGAGCAAAGTAACACAGCAGTCGACGCGTGTTTGCAAGTTCGATTCACTCAATTCATGAGGTACCCATCGTTCAAGTTTTTTTACTCTCCCAATTTGCTTCAAGTGTATCTCTGAAATGCTTTGTGATGGATCCGCTTCCACAATAGCCTTTAATTCTTCATTTCCCACTTTGGTCTCCAGCCGTCCACGGGGTTAGTTCTGAAGGTCGAAATTTCCAGAACGAAAACGTGGAAACCAAAAAAGTACCATGCTTTCTTTTGCGACACAGCGCCGTACACATCATTAATCCTTCGAGCTGTTTCTGCAGCACTGGTGCCACGGTAGAACTTGTACTCGTAAATATACCGATATTTCATGTTTTCCATTGTGCGTGCGGTAATAAGCGACGCCAAAGAAAAAAATAATGAGGAAAAAACAAATTAATGACTGTTTTCGAAACTCAAATGTACCATCTAAATGAACTTATAAATTTGAATTTGAAATTCTTAACCAAAGAGGACATATTTTAGATCAAAGTGGTCAGTACGATAAAACGCTAATTTTATATGTAAGGACCCAACATTAGGGGCATCCAACCTAACTAGTGTCTATAAAATAGCAATATCTAACAATGACCAATGAAGGAACTTTTCGCTTTATATACAAAGATTTAAAGCTCTACCAAGCCGAAAATTGTTTGTGGAACCCAAAAAATAAAAATCGAAAAAATAAATTAAAATAATATCTTATACAGCAAATTAAATACTACTACTACTACTACGTAGTAGCGGTATGTTGTGAATAAATAAACCGCAGCATCTGTTAGCGCCTCGACATCCATTTTAATAAATTCGTCCGCACATTGGCCTTAACTGAACCGAAGCAATCTGAACGACCTTCCAACGTGTGGACACCGTCACAAACTCTTGGCCAATATCTTTGCCACAAAATTCGCCACTATGTTAGCCAACGTGTAGAGCCGCCATAAGAAGAACATAGTCAGTCGTCGCGATTGATGTTGTCGGAAAAGCCAATGTAAACAATTAAATTGCTAGGGTTGTCACAACGGGAAATAATAAAAAGTAGAAACGGATTTTTTTTAATTCCACGTAGAAACAAATTAAATAACTTTAATTATAAAAAATTGTGAACTGTCTATAATAAGCAGTTTATAACGTATCTTTGAGTAATAACAACCGACTTAACACTATATTTTTTATTTGAATACATGTTTAAATGTAAGTGGAGACTTTCAGGTTACAAAATTACGTCATTAAGCTTATCATCGAGGTAAGTTAATATTGACGGTTTCTCCATTTTGCGGGAAGAAAACGGCAAAGAAAAATTTAAAGTATAACTTTAATAACGGCCATATTTTAAAGGATGTTAGTTTTTTTTTTTTTTTCAGCTAGCGTATTATTTTAAGTCTTGTTTTAAGTGGTGTTACATATTTATTCGTTTTAAACCTAACTCAACTAGCCTATGGAGATTACATCGAAACATATTTACAAATGTGCAACTGATATTTTCGATTTTTTGAACTACTTACTGGATTTTAAATTCCTGTTATACCGTCGTTACTCCGCACACGTAGTGCGAACTATTTTATTTATTTGCAACGTGACAAGACAGCCCTGCCGGACAGCTCCCGAAAGAATAGTAACCGTTCGGGAGCGCTCCGCCCGCGTCTCGCCCCGTCTAGACGGCCTCGATGACCGACTGTTCATAGTAAGTGGACTGTAGTCGTTGTGGTAACACTAATATTAGTATTTGCTTAGTTTTTGCCTTTTTTTGTAAAAGATTTTATAAATTTGATGACAAATAAAGAAAACATCACCATTCGCCATCAGGTAGGAATGGGATAGTAGTCGAGCGCTGGCTTACAATATTTTAGGAAATTTATAATTTTTTAAGGAAAGTCGACATGACAGTATAAGAGTTTTATTTAAGTAGGTAGGTTGTCAATTATAACATTTAAAATTGTACTTTTCAATGTCATACATAAAAAGAATATCGTAATTCCGTACACTTGTAGTGCAGAAGAAAAATAAATCAATTTTTTAAATTGTCACTAGTAAAATTATTAACTAAAGCTTTTAGAACATTATGCATCTTTTACTAAATAAAATGAACACTTCATGATCTAAATATGTCAAAAGTACATTAATGTAGTTAATTTCAAGACTAGTTATATACATTTATTCACATATTAAAGTAAATTATACCTTTATTGCGCTATATAAATACATAATATGTACCACCAGATAAATGTGTACACTAAATATTTATAGAATATATAATACACACACATTAAGCAATTGTATAACCAATTTTCACTGTGGCTGTAATCTATCAACAAGGTGAATGGGGATTCCAATATTTAAAAGAGTTTTTCTTTTAACTTGGTCTAAATTAGGATGAAAAGTCAACAAAGCCTCCCAGCAAATCTCACTTAATTTCGGTATACAAATCCAAACTTTATACATGGTATTATTTCTACAGGTTGCTTCTTCTTTTGGTTCAATGCCACCGAAAATATACATGCAGCCATATGAAGTGACTGTAGAAGAATGAAAGGAAAGTGGATGAGGTAATACAGTCTTTCGCATTAAATTCCATTGAAGATCAGAAATATTCAACCTCCACACGTCATCAAACATTGATTGTCCGTCTGAACCACCCACAACAAACACCTGAGGACCATTTGGTGTGTCAATTTGCACAGCACTATGACACTTTCTAGGTAATGGAGCTAAAGTATTCTTTATTGTATCATCAGCTTTTGGAGTTAAAACTGTCCATGTATTGGTTTCAAGGTCGTACATTGGTATTTCCATGAGTTCGAATGCCCATTCCCCAGTGCCACCACCAATAATATATATCTTATTCTCAACACGAGCTATTTCATGCCGATATCTGCCAAATGGTTCACCTTCCTGGCCAGTTCCTACAAATACTGGTTCCCAAGTCATAGTCCGTAGATTTAACCTGCATAAAGAATTAATAATCAATCAAAGTAACATGATTTTAAATAAAAAATTAAGCATTACTTCATTTATTATATCTAGCATAAACAATGGTAGCTTATAGGATAAGTGTACTAAACTAAACAAATGACAGGTCTCCTCTGGCACTTATGTAATTGTTATTTAGAGTGCTGTGCTGTGCTGTACTATCTATGCTCAACTAGCAATGGATAAGTCTAAAGATGAACATGGACAAGATAAAAGTCATAGACAAGGTCGCTTAGCGAGCTATGTAGAGGCTTATGCTCGGAGTTTCTCTGCATGATAAACTTAAAAATGACGATATGTGCTGTAGAATCAGAGTGACTGAATCTATTGACAGTAACTGTCATCCATTCAGTTCTAGCTATTTTTTTAAAATACATTAATTATTACTTTACTTCGCTTTTAGCACTAATATTATAGTAATACATAAATTTAGATGTTTATTATATTTTATTGTATAAATCATAACATTAAGTATACCCTTAAATTTAAATAAAACACGAAATTAAGTAAATTATTTCTCCCGGGTAATAAATGCAAGCCATTGCAGTTGTGACATATTGGAAATGACACTATTTAGAAAGATACTGTTGAAGGGTTATTTAAAGACATCAATAACTTTAAATCTATTCAGAATGTCAATGAAGTAGTTTCTTTTTGTTAAATATAATTCTAAAAAATACAAACCTATATATATCACAGTTGTATGCAAATCCATTTGTACCACCAATTGTATAGAAATAGCCATCATAACACAATATTGATTGCCCGTATTGCCCAGGTGGTCTAGTTCCCGTCACTTCTAATATTTGTAACTTTGCGTCACCGGGGCATGTACGCCATGCTAAAACATCATTGCTGCATTTATTGCCAAATGGAGCTCCTGTACCACCAAATATCTAAAATAAAATACAATCGATATTAGAAAGCAAGCAATATTTTTAAGTTTAATATTCTGTTTATTATATTTCGTCTCACCTAATGCATTTTATATCTAATGTACAACTTAAAATACCTAAGCACTAGCACAGTTTAAAGAGAGTCTAACAGTTGGGAAACAAAATTCGTGCTAGCGCACTCTACTAAGTCTAGTATACAATAAATGTCGTTGAGGCGAGCATGTTTTATAGTACTTATTTAACTAATTTTAAGTGTTGTTTGCAAAAAATATAATATCTATAGTAAATTACTATTTTAATTATATGAGTTACTAAGTAGTTGAATTCAAATGACGGCCATGCTAATGTTTCCCTCATGTTTTATTCATAAAATTGCTTATCGGATTGAGAAATATACTATATAATTAACATTAATAATCAAAAACTGAAAACATTTATAAAAATAAAGTGTCACAAAAATGTTTGGCAGTGCAACATTTGCAAATGTAAATTGATATTGTTCAATAAATGCTTTTAACTCATATGTGTAACATAGTGTTAACAAATGATAATGAGTATTATAATATCCAAAAAATTTTATTCCCATTTTGTGACAACATACACACTACGCCCGCATTGGTCTTTATGCAGGGAGCGGCATTACCTGACATCAAAAGCATTACACAACTTTTAGCACTTTAAACTAGCAATAGAGAGAGAGCTACTATAAAGGTATGTTAAAAGTTTGTTTATGGACACTGGACAAAATAGGCCTGGACTGTACATAATAACAAAATTGTAATTCATATGTAATATTTTAAGTTGAAAGCTGTCACCTCAAATAAATTAAGTAAAAATTTAAAAATTAATTTCTGGTGTATCGACAGCCCCTACAGGCCCATACTGCTCAGCTTGTAGCTTCTTCATTGCAATCGCAATCTAAATTTTTCAATAATGTACTATTAATATGCAGTAACTTTACCATCTGTGACTATATCACCATTAACCATCAAGTAATCAATAAAAAGGCAATAAAAACTATTTTGTTGACAAAAGTAAGTAAATAAAATAATAGGTTGGATTAACAAGTAAAAATTATATAAAGCAAAATTTAACAGGCATACAAATATAACAACAGTACACACAAAACATACACAAATGTAGGCTGTACACATAAAATGTCTTAACACAATTAATATGCCACAAAAATGCAGAAACTAGATGAGGTAAAAAATACTTATAGATAAATAGGTAGGTAGCAAGGTTCTTAGGTAAACAAAACAATTAACTTCATAAATTATACAAATTTATAATTTTTTAAAAATTAACTTTTTAAGTACCTATCATAAATTTCTTGATTTTTTTATTTTACTAAAGAATACATAGAACGATAGATAATTCCAAATAAAATTATTTACTAAAAACTATACGAACTTCCATTAGGTACTAGCATTAGTCTATCAAAAGTCCATTGTTGAACATAGGCCTCCCCCATAGTGCCTTATAAGGGAATATTTGGCATAGCTAAATTTTACTGGTGGGCTGGATCTACAGTTTTCTATTTTGTAGTTCTTATTAGGAAGATGCTGCTGCCCATCTCCAGGTTCGTTTCCCTCTGTCACTTCTTACAACTCCCTCAGGACAATATAGAGTAGTGAATATTCTTAAACCATCACCAGATGGCCGAAATGAGCTTACACAATTTATTAAAAAATCTCTCCTGATAAAAGAGACTTGAATCTTCTGGTAATGACATGGACTACTTACATATATCATTTAAGATAAAAAATACATGGAAAACAAATCAACTGTCAAACAAATTTTTCTTTCAATGACATTTTCTGACCGGGTAAAAGGACATTTAGCGCTCAGTGTGTAAAATGCTCCACTCCCTGGACTCTACTCGATGACTCGATAATACTACTTATAATTACTTCCTATGCGCCTGACAGATGATATACCGTTATTGCAGTCTCTTTATCAATTTGGAGTGTAAGAAAAGAGCTACAATGGCTATTAGTATTAAGAGAAGAAATTAACCTGTGGTTGTGGCCTATAGAGATCTAAGTAGTCTCCTTCTCACAGTTTGATCGCTTACTTAATAAGTATAAACTATATTATTCCACTCCTTACTTACAGATACATTGTAAAGAAGTATTGAGAGACGACTTAATAAGTCAAAGTATATATTATTTCACGCTATACTTACAAATACATTGTAAGCAAGTATTGTACTGTTAAGCCTTTATGTATAAGCAGAAACACAAACCATAAGAAATCTTCCATTCATACACATAGCATTAGATGCAAGCTCTTCAGGCATATTCTCGACAACTTCGTGTTGTTTCCATTTTCGTGTTGCAATGCAAAAACTCCATAATTCTTTAAACAAAGGCCGCTGTGGACTCCACGTCGGATTAATTCTCTGGATACTATTAAGTGGTAAAACGGGATTATAGCCACCGAAACAATAAATATTAACATCATCACATACTATTCTATGACCACTGCGAGGTCTAGGATATTCTGATCCCCGAAATCTAACCTCAGTAACCTTAAAAGGTTCAAAAATGTAGTCTTCTCCTGAAATCATAATGTATCTTACCCTTCCACATATAACAATCCTTTTCAGTTTATCAACATTTTATGTGAACTGTTATTGCGAATATCTCCAAAATATCAGTTTTCAGAAACATTTGGCAATTTTACCATCAAAATCGAAAAGGTTAATTATTAGTCGTCAGTGAGCTAACACAGCGAAATACAATTTGCATTTTGCATGGTAAACAGGGTAAACGTAGACGGCAAAAGCATAATATTTTATGTACTGCTCTTTTGGTTTTGGGTTTTAGGGCAAGGTGAAAAACAATAATGAAAATATTGTCAAAGAAACAAAGAATAAATGGTTTTATTGGTTATGTGGTATTGGTATTTGTATTTGGTAGTTTGTTTGGCTGTGGTACTTTCAGTTAGGGTTGCCGTTCTACAAATTTTAAAGTCCCTAGACTAACAGAAAAAATCCGCCAGAAACATGATTTTTCTTTTTCTTAAATTCCGCTAGAAGTCCCTAGGTACATTTTCGTGATACCTTTGGTCTAACTGAAAAATCTTGCCAAATGGTATACAAAGAATACCGAAAATATAAATCTATAAATTCAGAAAACCTTAAAAAGAGCGGACTCTATATCGAATAAATTAATTATATATAGTGTAGGTTAATGACATGACAACCAAAACAAAAATTATTCATGTGCAAAATAAAAAATATTGTAAAGAAATAAATCTCTTTAAACCACGTTTAAACATTAGTCATCTTATTAAAAATAAAACAATTAGCTCAGTACGTTTTTGTACCTAAATTTTAAAATTAATAGCGAAGTATGGATCCACTTCAAAAAGAACTTCAGCGGAAGTTGAAGCTTCGCCAATGTCCCCAGTTCCCATCTTTGGTTTACCTTTACCGACTTGGTTGACAAGATCTTCGGGAATATCATACGTTGCGCAATTCTTTTTTAATCCTTAACTGATTTATAATTAGACGGATGGAATTTAAAGGTTTTTCTGATTGCTTGTTTCACAGTTTGCTTTTAATTACATTCGTAGCACCAAATACGCGTTCAAATTCTGCATTTGAGTGCGGTAGTGATAATATTACTATTGCAAAATTACATAAATCTTCGAATATGTTTACTCCTGCTGCATTTATGTATGTCGAAACCTTAGAACATGGTCTCAGGTCGAAACAGAGAAAGTGAATTAACGACATTGCATTGTTGCTTTATGTTCGGGAATTCCCGTGAAATTATATTATATATAGAGTGCTACCAACGGTAGATTACAAAATTGGACATATGATAAATTACTTATTTGAAATGAATTACTTCATAAAAAAGTCGCCATCTCAAAAGTCCAAATGTCGCTAGAAGTCGCTAAATAATTATTTCTCCCTAAAACGATTTTTTTATCCGCTAAACATTGTTAAAATCCGCTAGATCTAGCGAGAAAGTCGCTAAAACGGCAACACTGCTTTCAGTATATTAGAAAGTACTCTGTGTTCGGTACATATGGCAGCAATTATGGCAGATTGGCAGACCAGCAGCGTTGCGACCAGTGTTGCCAGATGCCTTGAACCTTTTATCTGTAGTAGAAACGGCTAAAATCTGTATTAAATCTGTATGCTATTTAAATTCAAAATCTGTATAAAATCTGTATTTATTACCTTGAGTAAAATAAAAAAATAAAAAATAAAAATAAAAATTTAGAATTAAATAAAGAAATAAATTAAAATCTATCGAAATTTAAATCATATCCACTCCACTTTATCAACGGCAATAAAACAATAAATTTAATTGCCATCTTTGACCTTGTCACTTCGCAGGATCACAGGCTAGGAGGGACATTATTTGGATTTCGATAGAATTAATTAATTAATTTATTTAATATATTTTTATTTTTTTTTGTAAAATATCAGTGCCATAGGCTTCTAGTCTGTTCACATGTTACAGCCAATTTTTTTCCAGACAGTAAAAAAGATTATCCAGTATACATATTTCATCAATATCAATGTATTTTATAATACGCTTGTAATGCTCCCATACTAAATAATTACGTTGTGAAAAAATAAATTAACCATAAAGAATAGAATCATGCAATGATGTGTTTAACGCAGTATCTAGTCATGTACTTTGCTTCGTTCTGTTTTAAGTTGTATATTATGATAATTCAATCAATAGAGTTAAAAACTCTGTATAAAAATCTGTATCCTGTGTTAATCTGTATTACACGACGAAAATCTGTATAAATACGGAGAAATCTGTATATATGGCAACACTGGTTGCGACTGTAAAAAATTGAGTTGCCGTATCTAAAAACGAAAATTGCCGTATTTATGAAAAAAAATCACGAAATTGCCGTAAAGTATTTATTTCTACGAATAATTAAATAAATCACATAAAATCTGAAATTTCTTCACCATATAGGTTTCTGATTGATTGAAAACATCACTCGTTTGTTTATGTAATTAATATTTTTCTTTGCTTTTCATTTTATTACACATATCATTTGACATTTGAAATTTCGTACAACCTCCTTGATTTTTAACCGTTTGTCTTGCTAATAGAGCTCCGTTGACAGTGGATGTTATCTATTTATTTCTGGATTTTGTTTTCATATTGATTACTTCACTGAAAACTCTTTCGCAATCTGCATTGCTATGTTGTAGATAGACATAATACGTCTAAAGCAAAATTTGCTAATATTTTGCAGTCTGTACTATCTTGGACATTTGCCCAAAATTCATGTTTTATTTCTAATTCTGAAATTTTCTTTACATTTGGTAGCAACCTCCACTCGTCATCAATTCGTTGCTTATCTGATTCTCTCACAACTCTTGGCAATTGCTGGGCCAGTGGCGACAATGACGGAAAACAACTATGACGTCTTTGTCCTTTTCGCGTGTTTTGAAGTAAGAGTTTAAGCTTTTTGTAGAAAGTGCAGCCATTCCAACAAAAACAAATTGGATCCAAGTTTAATTTAATGCCAGAGTAAATACTACAAAAGTATCGTACACATCTTATAGTTCATAATGTTGTACATTCATTCAATAATATAAACAAAGTAAATATGTGTATCTCTTACATTCATTACTTCTATCAATGTCTACCATGTGTCATGTTCATGCCATCCTTGTTAGTCTCATAAAATAAAAGATGGAACGGTAATTTCTCGTCATAGACAACCACACTCTTTATTATCACTTAAGGGATGACGAAAGTGAAAAAAATATGGATCAATACAGGTATTTATATTTTTTGCTCATAATTTGCCATCGTGGTTTATCGCAAAGCTGAATTGCCGTAATACTTGATACGGCAATGAAAAGCCTGCCGTATGCCGTTATAATCTTAAAAAAAATCGTGGAATGCCGTATATTACGGCAATTGCCGTATCGACACGTATCGATCGCAACGCTACAGACCAGATCCAATGAATTTATTTTTATTTAAAACTGGCTTTACGGCTCTGGGTTCTAGCCCTTCTGAGCCTATCATTTCTTTCGAGATCTTCATTTTGAGAGATTTTGACGACAGCTCAACCCAGTATATATAGTCCAGTCGCGGAGCAAGAAGAATTTCGTACAATGACCTCTTTGCCACAAAGTGGTCGCAAACATTTTTGTGTTAAGTGTAGTTTTTATGAAATATTTGAAGGAGAAAGAATTAAATTTCCTATCGTATTAAATAAATTGTGGGTATTACATAAATTATTTATTTTCATTTTAGTATAAAAACAGTTGATTAAAACCACTTTTACGGATTTTATCGCGTTAAACTTTAAGTGATTTTTAATTTCCGACGTTTCGAGTGCCTACCAGCACCCATGGTCATGGGGGACTGAGGTGACTGATGTCCCAATGTCAGTGTTAACCCGGAGTACCTTCAGCTTTTTAATTATTGTTTATGGTCCGATCTACGCAGAATGAACTTACTGTGTCTTGAAGTCTTGCAGCGGTATGCTTGGGCTTAGTTTTAATTTTATTAATTACCAGTCCCAAGCAGTGGTAGTACTCAGCCTCCTTTATTTTAATCAATGTGTAGTGTTCGCATAAATATAAGAAATCATTATAAAAACAGTTATAAAAATCGCGTTGTGGTCGCCACACACGGTCAATTCAACAGATCGTTCCGACTGATCAGTTCAAACTAGAATTGATAACAGAGATAACTGTGTTTGAAAACTGAGCGATCACTAACGCATCCCAAGATGGAATGTCGTTTGTTCGTTACATAAAAATTATTAATTATGTCAAGCAAACCAAGGATTTTTGGTCGTGTGTCAAGGCCAACCAAATACCACGTGCAAACAAACCTTACAGTCTCAGGTAAAAGGTTTACAATCCCTGAGGATGGCGGTCATTGCATCCGTGGGAGCGAGACGCATTATACTTATGCGGGAGTGACAGAGACAGGTAATAACAGGTCAACGTACGAAATTCTTCCTTCTTCGCGTCCGGACTATAGTTGATGACGATAGTCACTCAAGTTCATGAAGCGCCTAAGCGATCAAAATAACTTGAGGTTTATATCAACATGAAAGCACTTGTTTCGTCGTTTTCTCTAACAGTTTACATGCGCAGATACTTAATTCACAAAATCGCAATCAAAATCCACTTCAAACCATTATTTAAACGATAACACAGGAGCAACAATCCGTCGACTGATGTTTTTTATGTTTCACGATTTGTTTTAAATCGTGTTTTTTTGTTGTCCAATTTAGTTGTTAAGCATCACAAAACACTATTACCCCTAGCAGAGAAGAACGATA